AGATCATAGTACCAACAGAATACTGGACTCAAGTGATGAAACTGGCTCAGAGTCAATTGTGGGAGAACACCTAGGAGCAAAGAAGATGGCAGACAGAATTACCAACAACTTCCATTGCCCAGAGTAATGAGAAATGTGATCAGATTCTGCAAGTCATATGACAGCTCCCAAAGGACAATACCTAGAGGTAAGGTAGACAAGGTGCCCTGCCTTTCCTGGAAAAAACGTTCAGCACAGTAGCTAAGGACTTGATTGGACCACTAGCATCTATATTCAACAAGGGCAACTGGTACATACTGACATAGTCGACTGTCTGACACATTACCCAGAAGCCATAGCATTCCTGAAGATAGAGATGAAGGGAATAGCAAAAGCTCTCCTGGAAGTGTTCTACAGAGTAGGCTTTCCAAAGAACCCATGCAAGAGGTGTGCAGACTCATCAGCACTAGGCAACTCTTTACCACCCCATATAACCCCAGATGTAATAGAATTTGTGAAAGAGTCAACAGGGTCTTAAAAAGCACGCTAAAGAAGGTGTGCCAAGAGAGGCCACATGATTGGGACAGGTACCTGCAACAGCACTATTTACTTACCAAAGAGTTCCACAAGCGAGTACAAAATTTTCACCATTCGAGTTACTGTATGGAAGAACAGTACGAGGTCTGATGCAGATATTGAAAGAACTGTGGAGAGGAGAAGAGTCAGAAGTGAGTATTACATACCAGTACGTATTAGACCTCAGAAACCGACTGGAGGAGATCTATCAACTCGCTCAAGAAAGTTTGCATGCAGCTCAAAGCAGTCAGAAGGACTTCTAGGACAAGAAAGGATCAACGTTTTAATGTCGAACAGAAAGTCCTGGTTCTGCTGCCCACAGACAACCACAAACTCACCCTGCAGTGGAAAGGACGTTTTGAAGTGCAGGAAGTGGTCAATAGAATGGACTATAAGGTGAAAGTGGAGAGGAAGACCAAGATCTACCACGAGAGTGAAGAATAGCTAATGAGTGCAACTATTGAGGGACAGATGGACATTGCAGGTGTGGCTGTCACAGATGCAGAACCAGAAGATACTGACTGAGTCATAGAAGATGAAGACCTGTTAGACCTAAGACTACTGGGTGGAGATGAGACGTACAAAGACATCACCATAAGTGAAGAACTGACTGGCAAGCAGAAGAAAGAGTTACAAGATCTACTGTGCTTGTATACAATGTCTTCACGGATATACCAGGCAAGACAGACCTTGTGCAACACCATATCAAGACCGTGACCAGGAAGTTAGTCAAGGTTAAAACCTACCAGATGCTCTATGTGATGAGAGATCTGATCAAACAAGAAGTCGATGTAATGTTAGAAGCTAGAATTATTGAGCCTCGAATTCAGCCTACTGATCACCAGTGGTAATCGTGAAGAAGAAGGATGGCTCAAAACGTTTCTGCATAGATTTCTAGAAGCTAAACCTTGTGATGAAGATCGACTGCAAACCTATGGGCAACCCAAAAGCTATCATGGCGAAACTGAACACGGTCAAGTTCTTTTCCTAGATTGACCTCAGTTAAGGTTATTGGCAGATCTCGATGGAAACAGAATCTGAAGAGAAGACAGCTTTGGGACACCTGATGAATGCTAATAGTTCCATAGAATGCCATTTGAGTTATTCAACTCAGCAGTGACATTCAACCACATGATGAGGAAGATGTTACACAAAACCACTGACATCGAATATTATGTGAATGACATTCTGACCCACAGCTGGATGGGAAAAACACCTGAAGAAACTCAGAGAGCTGTTCAGGCGAGTGAGTGCAGCAGTTCTGTTATTTTGTGCTGGACTTTGTTGGACACAAGGTAGGCACCAGATGCACAGCCATGGAAGAGAAGCTGACCCACATACAAGATGCACCAGCTTCAATGACCAAGAAGTAAGTCAGATCCTTCCTGGGTTAGCAGGATACTATAGGAAGTTTATCACAAACTATGCATAAGTCACTGCATCACTGACTGACCTGACCAACCCAACAAGGTTAAGTGGGAATATCCACAGCAGATGGCATTCTAGAAGTTGAAGTAAATGTTAGGAAGTTTGCCAATCCTTAAAATGCCAGATTTCAACAAACCATTCACCGTTCAGGTCGATGCATCAGATATTAGAATTGAAGCAGTACTACTGCAAGAATATGTAGACAGACTGTTTCCCATACTGTACATCAGTGAAAAGCAGTTGAGTAGTGAGATGAAGTACTCTGTGGTTAAATGAGTGTTTGGACATAATATTTGCCATCCAGAAATTCCAGAACTACTTCTATAGAAAGTTCATCATCCAGACTGACCATTAGCTCCTTGCATACATCCAGAGTGCAAAATCGACAGTTGAAGGATCATGAGGTGGGTGTTGTACCTCTAGAACTACCGGTTCCACACTGAAGTCATCAATGTTGGTGCAGGCTGTATGAGTAGACATTTTGCAGGAACTGAAAAGTCTTTGTTTATACTATAAACAAATATTGTAAATGTTTTTCTTGAAGAGGAGCTTATTGTTAGATATACACAACTGTTTCAATTTAACTGTAGCATGAGTGTTAAATTTGGTTATTTTTAGAAGCAATAGTTTATTGCAGGTTTGCTTATATATCACTATTTTTGAATCATACATTGTGTAGTTCAATTGCTGTATTATTACATCATGTTATTAGAATCTTCTACGTTTTCCTCGTTGTTATAATTGAGTGTTATTGCATCATAATATTTCATAGAGTGTGAAATCATTTGAGGCCTCTGTCAGGCTATAAATATGTGCCCAAAATGTAATTCGAGTTCCTTATATATATAGATCTAGGCTACATTATTGTCAGTTTACTCATAAAGAGTGTATAGTGGCGATTTGTAAAGTGAAGTTATCATAGACTGTATTTTAATAATAGAGCAGGAAGTGATAAAAAAAAAGAGAATTATTTAAAGCTCTGGATACAATTTGATAACCAATACTGTAATGAACATTTGTATATCTGTTTCACTTGTTTTAATATATTATTTTAAAACAAGTGGACTGTGTACTGTTTATTTATTATTGAAAATTATCGCCAACAAGCCACAGACACCTACTGTAAAGAATCTGGCCCATACATAAAACCCTGGTAAGGATATTGCCTGTGAAATTTCTCAATTTCTGGACATTAACCAATATATTATGGCAAGCTATAATATTGAATCTCTTTACTAACATTCTTTTGGAAGACACAATAAAAATGTGTCTTGGCAAATTATTTCCCACTAAATATAGCCTGCAGGCTAGGTCAGATATCTTGAGGTTACAGACTCCTCTTATTGAATAAGAATGACATGACACTAGGGTAGTACTAAATACTATGGGCAAATCCAATGTTTCTGGTTAAGTCAGAAATATTGTATTTAAACAGCCTGACATGGTATGTCATGCGAGTTGATTTACATAAAGATAACTCAAGGGAAGAGAATCAATTAGTCAGTCTTGTTTTTATCTCAATGGTTAACATTTTGATTTCCTATCACTAAGCACGGTAGTGTTAGTATGTAGGAATGGATTGAGACAAAAATGGCTGCCACATTCAATCTATTTCTCTATGCTTACAAATAACTGCTAAAATTGAGTAATAGCATTATCTTAGCACCGAACTGCCATTATCAAGTGTTTCACAGCTTGTGAGACTTCTAATATCATTAAATATCATCTGCCAAAACAATTTTAGTAAAAATAAGTAAAGGAAGAATAATCCAAATTAATATTCAAGGTATCAAGTATTTATGCAACTGGGAAATCTGTGTACATGTTATTGATGTACGAGTTTAAAAACACCAGTTAATTAATTAACATTATATAGCAGTCTATATATTTCCAAATTTTCAGTAGGGCTGAGCCTAGCAACCGTGTGTGTGTGTGCGTGTATGTGTGGTATCATACTTCATGGCTTGGGATCTGTATGTCCTCCCCATCTGTATGACCTGAGCATGTGGTGGAGTCAATTGCATGCATATGCAGCAAGTTGGGGTGAAGTTGGAAGGCACGGGTTCTATAAATATCTCCTTAATGTTTGTCCAGCACTCCAGAATACTCGTACCTATCTGGAAGAATCATTCCAGCTTCACTGGCCCCCAAAGTAATCCAAAATTAGAGAAACTAACAAAACAGATATGATATTAATAATATCTACCACCATTGAATAACAAAAACAAAACAAATGTACACAAATGAAAGAGGGAAAACAAGTAACAAAAACAAATTTGCAAAAATTAAATTGGAAGTAGGAATGGTAATGCCAAAAAGTACAAAAAAAAGAGGTAGGGATGAATACACAAAACCATACAAAAATCCCTACATTAGTAGCCAGTAAGTACTGAGTCAAGCTTATGGTTATTAGCCTTAGTCACTGTAAGGCTGTATAGCACTATTGAATTTAAAAGCTTTTATTCAAACCTGAATTCATGTAACTGACAGAAATTCAATATTTAGTTGTAGATAAAAGATATTCTAGGAAAGATTTGGCTACTTATGTAGTGATTTTTGTATAGTTTTGTGCATTCCTTGTTTCTGAACTTTTTGGCATTGCCATCCCTACATCATACTTAATTTTTACACATTTTTTGTATTACTTGTTACACATTGTATTTCAAGGATGGATACATTAGCGAATTGGCTGACACATTAAAATTTACCACCATATGCTGGCATCCTTGTATTGCAAAAGTTAATACAGTATAATGCAAAAACAAAAATTTGGATGATTGTGCATCAATGAAGATAATATTTGGTTTGATTTTCTTCAATTACTACTATAACATAAGACTTGTGAAAAATGGGCTTTCATTTCAATGACCATATTTAGATTTAAATTCAGAATAACCATCACCAGTCTTATGTGAAACTATGTTAAAAACGAGGCAGAACAAAACAGTCATATGCTGTTATGGGATTTTTCATTTATAAGCACATTTCCCAAGATACAGCTTGATAATTGAATTCTATCTCTTCATTCTGTTTTATAAAAACCTGGATATTATCCAAAGTTATTTTATTTAAGTATTATAGTACAGATTTATATATTATACATACAAAATGAAAACAAAATAATAAATTCATGCTATCCATGACCATTCTGCATTTTCCATTGGTTAATCCATTGGCAGATTTTTTCCACATTATCTTCCATGTCATCAGGAGTGTTACTTGGCAATTCATACACTATCTTGTTGTTATAAGATCCTCTGGCCTCATCAATAAGAGTCTGGAAGAACTCACATTGGATGTTATTTTCAAGCTTCTGTCCTCGGTAGCCTCTAAAGAAAAAAATGTATGTTGAAGATGTATATTTTTAGTTTTACATAAAAAAAACAAATTCCACCTTCAAATAAAAATAAGCTTATACAGAAAAAAACATTTGTTTTTATCAGCTTACAAATAGAAACATGCAAAACCAAATGACTGAATGCAAAGAAGCTATAAAAAGCACTTTTTGAATATAAACATTTTTAGTGTGTAATATATAAAAGTTAGTTCTTTAGCTCTCGTATTTGGAAATTTAAAATGATAAATTGAAGATTAATAAACCTTAAATATTTTCATCCAATACTTTTAAATAATTATTTATTAAAAGTAGATGCACATTTTTCTAGTAGGATATCAGACAAATAATAAATGACCAAGATGCAATCTTTTTATCTTCATCATGAACCATATCTTTACATGTCTTGAGGCGGACAATATTTTACACTCAATACATTTATTTTCTTCATGAAAAACCTCAGTACAGAAATTTAGTAGTATCCACTTCAAAACATGAGAACAAATACTGTTAATACAACACAGTGCTTTTCTTCAGGTCATATAAAGGTATACTGGCAAGAAAATACTTAATTTACAAGCAGCTCTGAAAAAATCTTCATTATCTTTACCAAGTTTGTGTGTAGGATAGAGCACATACTAAATATTTGATTTACTGTAGGTCTTTAAATAGTAAGTTTAGTTCAGTTTGATCATTGTACTTACCATTTTTCAGCTTTTTCTCTTTAAAGAAAAACTACCATATAATATACAGGTTAAAAAAACTTAATACTGCAACTGAAAGAACTGAGATTTACCATCATTAAAATTCCATAAAATATATAAATCCACGATATCAGATTAAAAAAATTACCAATAATTTAAATGTAAAATATCTTACTATTAACTGATGATATTTTTAAGTTACCTTCAGAATAAGTTTTTTTTTTTATTCCTGTAAACTCCCAGTGGAGCATAAAGCCGCAACAACACCTCGCCAACGGAAGTTGTTGTTGCAGTTACTTGTAGCAAGTTGTTTCTTACGGGTTTGAGTTGCTAGCCCTGCGCCCAACCCCCCTTCTCATCCTGAACTTGGGACCAGGCAAAGGCGGAGGTTGGCATTTTGGTGTGATGGGGATTCGAACCCGCGACCCTCAGATTACGAGTCAAGCGCCCTAACCACCTGGCCATGCCGGGCCTATCAGAATAAAGTTAATACATTAAAATTTAATACTAATAATACTTGAATCAACATATCCCAGCTTACTTACCTTGCTACAAGTCTATTATATAATGTTGTGCTGTTGGTCCTAAGAATAAAAACAATGTCAAACCAATGTTGAGGAAAGAAGTCACATCCATGATAGTCAATTATTTTTCCACCATCTGCTATTTTATCTTCCAGTTCATTAATCATCTAATTAGATATAAAATGACTGTTATTAAAAGTCATGCTCACTGAATCACACTTGATGGACAATAATAATTTGTTAAGGAATAAGTACTATACACATTCCTACAAAAGACAAGGTTAAATTAATATTTACTACAGGAGTTGGATGGATTTACAAATCCATTATACTTAACTCATTGTATAAAAAAAGTATTGAGAACTAAACATAATTTACACTGTAATGTATTTTAATGAACAACTCAGAATATTAATGCTTTTATACATATGAATAACATTTTTATCAATATATGTATATATATACATTATCAAATTTAATGCCATCAAGCAATAATTTATTCAACCATAATTATCACTTTTTTCTAATACATGGAGTATCATTATTCATAGGTTAACTTACTACATGGAATAGTTTTTAAAATTTCCAAGTTTGCTACACAAGTAGCTGAAAAATTAATACTAGCAGTGGCAATAACAAATATTCAAAAGCTAATGGTTATTACAATAAAAATCTATAACCCAAAATTACTTATGAAATATAATATATTCATAAAAACATTATTAAATAAAACAGTACAAAAAGAAATGTATCACAATGCCCAATACAATTTTTCCAAGGTCCAAGTAATTTTATATTTTAGCAGTGAATAAAAAAAAACTAATTGGTAATGTTTAAGAAAATTAAATATAAAAAATACCTGTTCTTCATCTATGACAGGACACTGGGTAATATCATTGTGCCCATCATACATATGGTCAGCTTTTGCTATTTCTCCTACATTCAACCATTCAAAACCTGAAATCTCACTGATTTCAGAACAGAGAGTGGATTTTCCTGTGCCAGGAGTTCCTATAAGAAGGTGACATGATTGGAAACTATCAGGAACTTAAGAATAAAATGTTAAAATTCTTCCTCATACAGAAAACTTGACATATAAGTAAAAATAATGCAAAGAGGTTGAACCTAATTTTATAAACATTATTCTCACTGATTATCATTACTATAACAAGAAATGTAGTAATATTTCAATTTTGCAAAATACAGTTCAATTTACATGAACATTGGAATATTTATGACTTGCAGTTTATTAGAAATGTATAGAAATTTCACAAATATTCCAATACTGAAAATATTTCAGCGTACTATCAGAAACTTGCAATACCAAACAAATGACTGAATCCATTTAAGGTATACAAAGTGTTCACTGTATGAGATGAAAATAACATGGGAAAAGAACATTACAGTGACATCTTACATAAGCATGTTTATAAATGGAAATACAAAGAATTTCTGTACATCATTCAGAAGTTGCAATAACACATTTGTGGCTTATGATAAATTGATAACTCATATGAAACAAATACAAATTGTCAATAATTCAAATATATTGGAAAAATATCTTTCTTATAATATCTCAAAATAGCACTTGATATTTGTCATATGATCTTCTACATTTGTCTAAACATCCGATCCAGATATATAATTTTTTGAATCAATTGTAATGGTGGATCATGCTACTCCTTTCTACTTGGGAAGCTAGTATTTATCTTATCTTTCCAAAGAAACTTCTTGCTAAAACTGAATTTCATTACTGTACTGAGCTAATCCACATTCAATAAAGTTCTTCACTCATCAGAACATTTTCCACTACTGTCACTAATCCACTTGAATTTAATTAATATATTAGTCCTACAGAGATGAGTTAACAATAGAATGACCAGATATCCCAGCTTGGCCAGGACAGTCCCTGTTTTTGGAATGTTGTCCCAGTGTCCTAGCATACTTTGAGGATGCCTGAAGGTCTCAGTTTTCTTTTTTGTCAGTAATATAACTTTTCAAATACTTCTAATCAGTACTTTGAGCCTCTGACAAACATGAATCAACATATAATTTTTTTTAACTGAGTAGGGAACTTATCACAAAGCTCAGAATGACTCCACAAAGCCTTTAATGCATCCCTTGAAGTTGGCTATAAGGCAAGCTCCAGAAAATGATATCATATTACTACTGGATACCTCACTGAACATTTGATTTAGCACTTGCCAAAACATAGAGCGACAGTTGAATCCAAATGGTAGGTGCTGTTCACATTCAATGCTTGATTTTCAAGTCATGAAGTATTTACTTAAAGTAACTCAAGGGTGAATATGAATGACAGTTACTCAGAATTTTACAAAACACTCCTAGCCAATATGAAGTTGCTTTAAACAACTTAATCATCACAAAGGTACCAGTAGCAACAATAATGTAAACAAAAACATTATTTGCACTTGATGATAGTCACTATTTACATAATTGGTTGCATATAATTTTCCCCCCAAAAAAGGGTCCCTGTTTTAATGTCTGAAACTCTGGCCACCCACTGATACTATTATAAATAATCTTACCATTATATAAAAAACTTTGGATTTCACAATTATTGACATAAAAGCTGCTAAATAACTTCTCCTTATGACCTTGTTGCCAACAAGAACTAATGTCCATAGATCATTTTTTGGTTCATTCCAAGAATATTCAATGATTGTTTAGATTGGGCAAGTTGTAATATATCTGCTTTTTAACAATATGATGGAAAGTGTGGGTTTGACAAAAAGGAGATCAAATAAGTTTTGGTACTTAGTACCAGCGAATATTGCCAGGATTTCACCTCCAACCTAAATCATGCTAAACACACACATAATTTCATTCATATACTAACATTTTAATATAATTAGGTATCTCATAAGAAAGCATTTAGGAGAATAAAAGAACATCAGTTTATATTTTAAGTTTAAACGAAAATAAAATGCACATCCATTAAATTGATATAATAATGTATTTAAAGTAAAAAAACATACTAACAAGGTAAGAGATTAGATGGGAAACTTCAGAATCAATCCTCCATAACGTGTCTGGAGGCACTGTTTTAAAAGTTAACAACTTTTCCTAACATAAATTGAATCTGACATTTTTGAAAATTGTTACCAAGCTAAATCTGGACACTTAGACCCTCAAATTTGGAAATAAGTATGGTAATCAAAATTCATCATAAACATTTAATATATCAAAGTGCATTTCTTCTAAAAAACCCGACTACACTATAAAGTTACTTGGGAAGACGACGTGCGATATATAATCATATTATCCTCTACTGTAGTATTATTACATCATTCGCACTATTGTATTTGCAGCCACGTGTCTTGAAGTTGAACATTGCCATAAGGGTTCTAAAAAACATTACTAATATGGAGAATAAATTAATGTTTATTTATATACATATACATGAGAATGAACAATATGATAACTCCTAATCATAACATGTCACACATAACAAATAATGAAATATACCTGTAATAAGAATGTTTGGTAATTTCCTGTATATCGACATCATCCACACCACACAGTGCACGTAACTATTCTATATTTCTACCACATGCTCTTCGTGTACGAACAGATTTATCACAAGAGGGCGTAATGTTTTACTATTTATTATAATATCTTTGAAAAAGAATCATATATTGTTTCATATTATACTGTTTTAATTGAACTAGAAAATACGAGCCCAATTTCTTTCATGATTGACAGTATTAATATTAGTATCAAAGAAAAACTAAACATAAGTGTCATAGTCAGTTGTAGTATATTCAGGTAAAACTGGGTTAATCTTCAAACAATATAATCTGTGTGTCAAAGGGAATTTAGAGAACCCCCTTTACTAAGAAAAGATTATACCTATTTTTTGTTTACATGAACACTGTATTTCTAAGGTGGCCATCATTCTGAAAAATTCCATTTCAGAGGCCTGATGCTGCTGTAACCCTTGTTGTTGTTTTTTAGAAAAAATGTGAACCCAACGGTAAGAACATTGAAAGGTACAATAGTACATTCTTATCTGCACGCCCATGTGTGATTTTACCTAGAAATAATTTCATATAAAAAAGTCATTATTTTCAATCAACTCTGGTGTGTTAACTTCGTGTTGTTTTTTTCAGTTATTTCTAATACAAATGCTTTAATTTTATCTGTAAAGTAACATTTT